CACAAAACGCATAAAAACTGCCCAGTGCAAGTGAAAATAAATTTCTTCTGCACAGAAAATATGCTAATTTAAATTTAACTTTTTTATACTTATGAAAAAGGTCGTAACTAAAAAGTAGGTAAAAATAAGATGAAAATAAAAACTGAAAGCTAAGTTTCTTTCATGGAAGTGCTTGCAATTTTGTTAAGCTGATTGTAGCATGACTGTAGCATACAAGTAGTATTAAAAACTTAAATAGGACAAAAATAGAATGAACTATGTATTGATGGATGTAGAAATATAGCTGGTGTAGGAAAAATACATTTCGGTCCATTAAGTCATATACGTCTCAGCTCAACACCGTTTGACTGGATCTCGTCAGTATGACGGTCACGGTGTTCAGAGAGATGAAAAAGAAGGAATGGAAGGCAGAAAGAAAGAAGATGGGAAAGAGAAGATTGCTTAATTATATCAAATTTGGAATAGTTGAAAGGAGTAAAAGGTTACAATATAAAGTGGAAGAATATAGAGAGGAGGAAGTAGCAGTATGAACGGACGTTAACAACGTGACGTATAGGAACTCGCTGGGTGGTAAAATTATTGTAGAAGAGCCTGTATCAAATGTTGACACAGGGCCACCGTAGGAGGGAAATACTTAGAAAGCTGGCATGTATTTCTGCGTACAAATGTATTAACTAGACGATTAATGCTGCGAGAAGAAAGTCCTTTATGCGAGTAGTGGAGGAGAAGACGACGAGCGGATGTGATAAATCCATGATAAGTGGATTCGATAACCATGCTAATTTTGGCGACGGAAATCCTAAAGTCGAGGAATCTTAAAACCATCTTGGATCTTGAAATTCCCAAGATTTGTTAGATACAAAAATTCCACAGAAATCAGAATTTTTTAATGACAAAACTAACTTTGAATCCAAGATAATTGAGCATAAGCTGCTTCTCGATATCCGATGGACCAATGTGGCGATCCGCGAAGCAATCATACTGCAGATGCCTTGCGGCACCAGCCCCGGCCATGGCGTCAAAAATAGCCAGTGGGCCATGTAGTCCCAGCAAATGGCGTCCAATTATGCGATACATCGACACCGAAAGGTCACAGGAGCGGGGATGGAATGGGTCCGGTTCTCTCCGGAGGAGCTGATAACATGCAGAAGGCCAGCAACAGTGGCAGTCGATGCTACCTCTTCCTTACACGATTGTGTCTTGGAAACCGTTGATGTTCTTTGGTTCCAGCGGACGTGCATGACACCAACGACAGCCTTGGAGCATAGCTCCAAATTGCTCGCCAATTGATCAACGTAAAAAAAGCAAAATGAAAAACGCAAAATTAGGGCAGCAGCGACAAATGACTGTAAAAGCGAAGCCTAAATAAGCGGTCAACTTTGACAGGTCTAGCATTCTCAAACTTCGGTAATATAACTTGTGTGGTGGGAAAAATAATTGGCCAACGCACGGGCTGCTTGTGCGAAGATGCGTTTTTTGCACAGCTCCCCGCGGATTTTTGTTGCTAACGGCACTGGTTTTTTCGGCAGATGCTTCTAGCTAAAAGAATTTCAGAGCGGCCTTCAGGACTGTTAGGAAACATCCCTTAAAAATTCCAGTCTTCTAGCTTCTCAGATCCCCGAGTTAGCGACTTACTCAAAAACTTTGGCGGGCTGGTAAGAGCGCTCATTTTGAGGATGGGGGCCAGCACACACATGTAGATCAAATTCCCAAAATTTCAGCTTTTGTAGGTCTCAAGATGGAAAATTGGTACAGACGAATACACAGACACATATACAGACAACCCCTCGTCAATATCCGTTTGCATTGCATAGCTGCAAAAAACGCATAAAAATGAAATCTTCCCCATGAGGTAATGCTGTTGAACGTAAAAACAGTGGCAATTGCTCGCTGATGATTTCCCAAAAGCTTCCTATTTTTAGAAAATTTTGACATTCGGAATGACGAGGAAATGTTCTCACTGCTGTGTAATGCTCTCCGAATACAGTGATAAATTTAATACTGCTTTTTTTTTTATTCATAACATTTCAAGACAGAAATGCAATTCTCAGCATACCAAAAGACATAATCCATAATTTTCAAATAAAAAAGCATTTTCAGTTTTATCACAAAAAAAAACAATTAAAAGATAGCTTCTTGGGTTCCTTCTTTTCACACCATCTGAGAAGTGGTGGAACAAAGGTCGCCCC